GATAATTTTAAATGATCCATCCACATGCATCGACGAGAAAAAAAAAAAAAAGGTAATCTACAAAGGAAAGTGAAATTGTTACTGTACCTCATCTAAAATTCCAAAGAAATTATAGGGCCTCTTAGGCCCTGGAGTTTGGGTGGCATCAACTGAGATGAAAGAATAGTTGCCAAAAGGAGTACTGTGGACATAATGGAAAGAGCCATCCTTGCGTACAGCAGAGTACTTCCTAAAAAAATACAAGACAAGAAATTTTTAGTGCAATCATAAAAAGACAGAATTAATTTAAATTTTATCCCAATATAACACTAATTTTTTCCCCTTTGAAAAAGAGATGCCCTGATCTGACAGAGAAGTACAATAAACCAGATAGATGTAAACTGGATAAATTAATAAAAAGTTTCAAAGTTCTTGAAATGTCTCTAAAGACCAATGTAAAATAATTCATCAATAACCAAACACAAAGTCCCCCCAAAAAAGAAGGAAAAAAAGGGCTATTTTAAGCAGTTGCTTAAATATTCAAAACTAAATGAATCAGAATCTAGTGGCATAGAAGTTATCAATCATTTAATAATGTAGCACTTAGCAGAAGTCTTGGTGTAATAAGATACAAAAGGTGTTCACTTTTTAAAACAAAACCACAGAGGCTTAATTCACAAGGAAGACTTGCAAAGGTGAACTCATCAAGCCAGAAGAAAAATGTTAATCTACTTGTGGGTTGATAAATCTGTTTTGGTTCCTAAGAATATATTGATAACATATATAATTACTGATAATATCTAGTAATGAAAGTCCTGATGACTGTAAGTGTCAATAATTACTTATGACCATAAAGTTGGACAATGAAGAGTAGGAAAAAACAACGGGGGGGGGGTTGAAGAAAGAATGGGTGAGGCGCTGGTTGTATTGCAACCATACACATATTATTCAAATATTATAACCCCAGAAGGGTATTATCTTTTATCAAAGTGTCTTACATGTTTTACCTAAGAACACAAAGTACATGCAGAATTACAAATAAGCTGGGCACAGAAGCACATGCCGATAATTCTAGCATTCAGGGAGGCTGAGCCAGGAACACTGCCTGGCCAACTAGACTTAGAAAGACCTATCTCTAAATAAAAAATGTAAACAGGGCTTGAATTTAATTCCCAATACCACCCCCTAAAAAAATCACAAATAAACTTCCAAAGCTTATTATGCTAAGAGATGGCCATGTTTAAGCAAAACAACCGTCAAATATATCATAATCAGAGTAAACATATTATCATAGATATTACAAGTGATACTAAAAAGTTATCTAAACTTAATTTAAAGAAACTCAACAGGTTCTATCACATCTCATCTTAGTATTTTTTTTTAAATTTCTATTTCCGGTTTTTATTCCACATGAACATATTTATTTCTATTTTTTCTTGCTTATTTTCAACTATTCTTCAGGATTTTGTAATCTTATATACATTGTTTCTTTCCCGACATTTTAACACATTAAAACCCAACTGTTTAAAAGCTTATAAATTAGTCCACTGACTGGCTTAGCATAGTTCTGGGTATAGATAACGGGGAGGCCCACTCTGGGTGTGGGTGCAGCATTTAAAAGGCAGGAAGACTGGAAAAGATAAAAGGGACAGGCAGGCTGCGGCCACTGCTGTGCTACTGTGATGCCCCTCTGCTATGCCACCCTGCATTGAAGACAGCCAATTAGGGACTGAAACTTCTATCAACTGTGAGCCAAAATAAACCTTTCTTTCTTTAACGTTGAGTGTCAACTGTTTTGCCTGAGCATCAAGAAAAGTATGATAGGCCCTTTCCATATGACTGGACTATTGCCAGATCTTACTATTTAGTACATATATCCACTATTTCTCCTTTTCTGTTTTTTTTGTTTTGTTTTGTTTTGTTTTGTTGTTGCTGTTTTGTTGTTTTTTTTTTTTTTTTGCAGAACAGGGGATTGAACTCAGGCCCTGTGCTTGCCAGGAAAGCACTTATTCCACTGAGCCATCTCCCTGGCCCTTCCTTTTCTGTTGTGAGAATTATAAAACACTATTTTTATTCTGGTATGAAGTTTCTTAAGGACCTAAACTGGATTAAGAACCACCCATGACATTTAAATTTTTATACTGGTTACTTAAAACTTTTGTAAATTGGTCCTAAGCTACAGATTCAATATTATATCAGTCCTCAAAATGAAACTTATTCTTTGCCAGTTTCCTTCCTGTCCCCTCAAAAGCTCATTCTATCTTTTAAAGCACTGTTCATGCCTGTTCTTTTTCTAAAATATATTGCTTGGTATTCCTCCTCTAAATGCAACCCATCTTTCAAACCCAGACATAATTTTCATTTCTTTTATAAAATCTTCTCTGTGTCCACTCCATGGGATCTCAGCCTACTTTTTGTTTTGGTCTTTTTTTTTTTTTTTTAATTTTTTTATTTATTTGTGTGTGGCCAGCTCAGCCCACCAGGGGGCGGGGCTGGCTGGCATGTGGTGCTGGGGGATTGAACCGTGGTCCCTTTCCTTTGCTAAGCTTGTTCTAAGTAGGTGCTTTAGACCACTGAGCCATCTCACCAGCCCCTTGTTTTGGTCTTTTTGAGACAGGTTTTCACTATGGAGTTCAGGCTAGCCTTTAAACTTATTTTGTAGCCCAGGCTGACCTTGAACTCAGTGATCCTGCTGCCTCAAAACCACTCCTACCTCCCCAATCCATCCTACTGGGATTTCAGGTGTGTGCTTTTTATTTCAAATGTTTGCTTTTGATTTCTTACAATGACTACCATATGCAGGGCCAATGAGATAGCTCATCAGACTAAGCACCTGCATAGGCAATCGCAGGGACCAGGGTTCAATCCCCAGTACTACATTCCAGGCCAGCCCCTCCCCCAGGCATGCTGAGCATGGTTGTGCACACCTGTAATCCCAGTGCTAGGGAAAACAGGAGGATCACTATGAGTCCAAGCTGCATAGTGAGACCCTGTACCAAATACATTAAAAAAAAAAAAAAAATTACCACATGCAACCCATTCTAGCACTTCATCAGCCATTTCTTTGTGTTCTTTGCTCCATAAAGAGTTTTTATCTCTCTTAACTAGAATACAAGTTTCTTGAAGGCAGACACCAAGTATTTTACATTAGCTCTTTTAGCTTTTAGACTGTTCACCAGTGATAGGTAAATAGTTGCCACTTGATCAAATGACAATGTAGAACCAAGCTGACAAGTACATAGAACTGAAAGTACAACTGCAACCAGAAGAATCATTGCAGTGCACTGAAACTGGACAGTCAGTACTGTAACTCACAGATCCCCAGCCCTTTTCACATTCATGACAGATCAAGAAAATGTTGATATTTGCATGACACGGGTAGCATAGCCAGGGGTGACAGCCATCCCAGGACTGAGAGAATCAGTATCTCACCCTTCAAATCCCAATGGCCACAGCACATCTCTGATCTAAATGACTTCTACTAGATACGACAATGGCCAACAAAACATCTGTGCAAATACTAAAAGTACCCCTGGCAAAACAAGGCTTAATGTATCTGAAGCAAAAAGAAAGAAAATGTTCAAACAGAAAGAACACAATCTGTCACACACGCAAAAAAAAAAAAAAAAAAAAAAAAAAAGAAAGCTTCCTTTGCAAAATTACCAAAGATTCTTTAACAGAAATTTTGGCTGCTAAATAATGTTTTCACGCATTCAATGTATTGACTCTTGGTTACAGACTCTACTTAGTGGTCCGTCTTTTGTTCATTTCGATACCTGTAATAGTTCTTGACGCTCTCCAGACTTGGAATGTTGTATGCATCTAATTAAAAAGAAAAACAAAAAGAGCAAGCATTCATCTATATGACAAAGAAAAATGGAAACAATTTTTTCTATGGTAGGATGCCACTGAATTAGATTGATAATTTTAAAAATTTGGTAACTTAACCCAGATTACGTGGAAGCTTTAAGGCCCCAGCACACTGGAGAATAATAGGTACTTTTACATTTTATTAGAAACAAACTCAGTTAAAGTCATGAGATAGCATTATTGCTGCTGTTTCGGTCATCTAATCATAGAAGCCAAAAAGAAGTGAAATCAGGCCTGTTTCATAAATCTATGCCAAGTGCTTCTAAACAGCAGATCACTTTGATCTGAGAGACAAAGCCCCTCTCTTTAAATCTTAAAAAAAAAAAAAAAAAAAAAAGATTCAGTGTGAAAGGAGTTACAAAATAGTAAGGTTTAGGATATCATAAACTACTTATCTGGAAACATAATGACTACACAGATCTTGACTATCCAGCTGCAATAATTAAAACTGTTGCCTTTGACTTCTAGGACTCTACCATATTTCTAATAACTTTAAAATAAACTGTAAGCCCAATTCAGGCCAAAAGAAATATTAATATGAATGTGATCCTTTTGCTAAACAAGAAACCAACTCTGTTATAACTGAATCTTTTATTAATTTTTATTTATTTTTAACTGAATCTTAATTTTAAAAAAACTAGTTTGCTTCCCTATCACAATACTTATTAAAAAAAAACTTATGGGGCCAGGGAGATGGCTCAGTGGAATAAGCACTTCCCTGGCAAGTGCAAGGGCCTGAGGTCAATCCCCGGTTCTGAAAAAAAAAAAAAAAAAAGAGTACCTGCTATATATGTCTGTAATTATATAAAACTCTAAAACATACAAAGGACATTAAAAAAAAACTTATACTACAAGGATTTATGCCTATACAAGTCAAATTACATTACTATGTACTCCAGAGTGCTACCCAGATTATTTAATACTAAGAGTCTTTTTGATATTTATTACATAAAATGAAGAAGTCAGTAGTTTGACTGGGAAGTTTTTTAAAAAATATGTACATTTACTATTTACTGCAAAAGAATTAGGTCTGTACCTCTAATTAGGATCAAGAAAAAAAGGGAAATATAAATGTGCCAGAGAAAGTTGTCAGCCAAATCTCTGATATTTAATTTGTAATGCCTAGCTGCTTTGTAAGAACTATTTATAATCAGGGCATTTTCTGTTTTTGCTTTAGAAAACTAATAGCTATGTATTTCATGAGGCAGTTATCTTTTAAATTAATAGTCTTATAAAACAAATTAGGAATCCCAGAGCTTGGGAGGCTGAAAAACAGGAAGGATCACTATGAGTCCAATCTGTGTAGTAAGACCCTGTAGACTGTGTACTAAATACATAAAAATAAATAAATAAAAATAAAACAAATTAGGGGTCACCCCATTAGGGACCCTTCCTGGAAATCCAGGAACTATTCTTTCTGTTTTCAAAAAAACTTTCCTAACCTTAAAAAAGTACTGACAGATACATGTATAATACCCATGAATTAAATAAACAACAAAGTCAGTCTTTATAAAACATACCTATTCTCAGGACTCATTTGGAGAAAACCTCATTTCCATATTAATATAATTATAACCAAAAAAAGGAGAAGAATTACCCATTTTTCTGCCTATGTCTAGGGAAATTTGTATGCTGTTGAAAGTGTATAAAGTTTATAGGATCGGTCTGGGGAGATAGCTCAGTGATCTAAGTGCCTGCCTGGCAGGCACAAAGACCCAAGTTTGATCCCCGGTACTGCATGCTGTGCCAGTCCCAGAACCCCAGGTGCACTGTACCACCAACACAGAGTATGGTGGTGCATGCCTATAATCCCAGTGTTGAGGAGGCTGAGACAGGAGGATCACTATGAGTGTGTACTGCATAGGGAGACCCTGTACCAAGTGAATAAATAAAAAATTAAAGTTTATACAATAAAATTCTTTCTGTGTAAGGTAGTTCCATGGATTTTGACAAATACATAGTCATGTATTCAAGACCACAATCAAACTACAGAAAAGTTTCATCACCCCCCTAAGATATATTCATGATGACTCCTTTTTTTCCTTTTTGTGGTACTTCAGATTGAACTCAGGACCTTATGCTTGCCAGGCAGGCACTTATTCCACTGAGCTATCTCCCCGGCACCCCCCCCCCCAATTTTTTTTTTTTTGAGATAGGGTCTCAATATGCAGTTCAGGCTGGCCTTGAGCTCACTTTGTGACCCAGGCTGGTCTCGCACTCACAATGATCCTCCTGTCTCAGCTTCCTGAGTGCTGGATTACAGATGTGTGCCACCACACCAGCTCATGATGATTTTCTGTAGTCAGTCCCTTCCTCTACCCCTACTCTTGGCAACTGTAACCTTTTCTCTGCCTATAGTTTTGCCTTTTTTAGATGGTCTATAAATAGAATCGTCTAGTAGATGATCATGAAGACTTATGGCTTTAGCTTCTTTCACTTAACAAAATATAGATTTTAAAAAACATTTGCCTACATAATTTTTGGTAGAAGATTTTCTCCCAGATAAAGAAAAGAACCATATAAACTTCCATTGCAAAGACTAAGCACAATATCTGAAGTTTTAAAATCATATATCATAACTGTACAGTGTCAGAGTAATAGCCTTCAATAAGTTCAAACTTATGCTATAATTTCTCATTTTGAATTTGTACAATCTAAACTGAACACTCTAGGTTCCTGAAGGGAAAAAAAAAAATCTAGTCTTTATTATATCTGGGTCTTTGCTCTTACCATGATTTCCTCTGATATCCAGCCACTTGGTTTTTTCCATGACCCTTGTCTTCTTCAGGATACCATGGTAAGTTTGCCATTCTATCTCCTGCTGCCTGGATCCCAACTGCTCCTTTGTTTTGGCATCTGTCAAGTCTCCTGTAAATTTACAAAAGAAATGAATGGCAATGTATTTAGCTTCTTTCACTCAACAAAATATAGGTTTCTAATAAACGCCGTGTTTTTTAAAATGCACAAAGATAAATAGTTAAACTATTCAATGTGGACAAACACAACCACTCATAAGTCCATGTATGTCCAAAGCAAGTCATCTAAACTAACTAAACTATCTCAGCAAAGACTTTACCATGTTAAAAAGTCCTTATTTAACCTATGAATGTAGAAAAACATGTATCTTCAATGAAAACAGAAAAAAAAAAAAAAAAAGAAAAAAAGAAACACAGCACAAGGCTGGGTCTGATAGTACATGTCTGTAATCCCAGCACTTGGGAGCCTGAGGCGGAAAGACTGCTGCGAGTTCCAGGCCAGCCAGGACTGCATAGTGAGACCCTGTCTCAGTCACACACACACACACACACACACACACACACACACACTGACACACACACACAGACACACAGACACACACACACACACACACACAGAAAGAGAGAGAAAGCAATACAAGGAGTATTTCCCTTTCAAATACTCCCTACTCTTCCAGAGTAACTGTCTGCCATCTCAGTCTCTTTTCCCCTTTGTCCTCCATCTTCAAATAGTCTGGGGGGGAGGTTACAAAATGCATCAATAGACTGACAAAATGAGAATCTATAAAAATGCCAACACTCTGGCAGCTGTCCAATGCCTATTGCAACCCTATGTCCAGCCCCTAAATCAGGATATGTAATCTAACCAAGAACTATGTTTATAGCAAGAAGCAAT